TTGGTGGTTTAAAATCGATAAGAGTTGGCTTTTGCCGCCACCCGGGCAAAATTCAAAATTTCCTACCAACTGAAAATATTAGGTGTGTCCCGCGCGCTCATATGACCTTATGCAGTTGCAAGCGCCGTAAAAAAAACTTTACAAAAACAAACAAACAACTTTAAGTCTGGTGTGCTGCTCATCGCACTGACTTATGTGTCCTCACAGGGTTAAAGGACGTGTGAAGAAAACTGTTTGATTTATTACATCAAGCAAGATTAGGCTGTATGTACTTACAGGATGGTCTCCGTGTTGTTGGTCTCACAGCACAGGTCACAGACTTCTGACGGTGTCTGGGCCAGTCTGGGGAGGAGAGGACATGCTCCTGTCAAGGTTTATATATCTGTTTATGTGAGGCGTCGGGGTGAAATCAGGTGCTCGTCAAAATAATGAAATCAAAGAAATTGGCATTTTTTTCTGACCAATGAGCAATTTTTTAATAATAATTTTTTTTTTTTTTTTTTGCTCAACACCTTTTATATCAATTAAAAACACATTTCTGCTTCGATTTGACTGAAAAACACTGATTAAAAATCACAAAAAATGCCATTTTTCTGTTTCCAAGCTATGGAAATTACCACACTTTGGTGGCCATTTTTTCGCTATTTTCACCTCTGAAATCAGGCGACCCTGACCTCCTTCAATTGCAAATATTGAAACTTTTTCTATTCAACTCAGATGGATTTTTTTCACCAAAAACCAAGGCAAAGGAACAGGCTTCAGGGTGTTACCAATAACCCCATATACCCAAAATCCCACCACATCGCGACACGTTTGTCTGTTTGTTTGTTTACTCGTTTGTTTGTTGGTTTGTATGTTTGCTAGTTTGTTTGTCTGTCGATTGGTTTGTTGGTTTAACTGTTTGTCGTTGGTTGACGGGTGCTCTGGTGTGGTTTGCTCCTTCTTTCCCACAAAAAATCTATCGTCTCTATCTCACCTCCTTCTTTTTGTGTTTGTTACTCTCTTGTGACACCTCTAATCTTCGGCACTTATATTTCTTTAGAGTGTTGCAAGTGCCGTAAAACTCCTACTAAAACTTTTTTTTTAAAAGATGGTTTAATTGTTTGTTTGTTTATTCGTTCGTGGAGCAATGTGGTTTATTGAAATGGGAGTTCTGGTGTTTGCCGCAACCCCCTCAATCTCCCGAAGGAATACATGATTATATTTATGTGTATGTGGGTGGAGGGAGAAGCGGGGTTGTTG